GCATAGCCCTTGTGTGGCGGCTGAACCCCTTGCTTGGGGCTGAATCTCCTGTTGGGGGGCCGAGCCACTTGTTTGGAGTCTGTACCACTTGTTTTAGGGTTGAACCCCCTGTTGGGGGGCTGTAGCAATTGTTTGGGGCTTGAAAACCCTGTTGGGGGGCCAAACCCCTGGTTTGAGGGCTGTTCCACTTTTCGGGGGGTTGAACCCCCTGTTGGGGGGCAAACCCCTTGTTTGGGGTCTGATCCCCCTGTTGGGGGGCTGTATGCCTTGCTTGGGGGTCGGACCACCTGTTGGGGGGCTAAACCTCTTGTGTGGGGGCCATCTCCTTGTGGGAGTGCAGGAAAATGTGTATTCATCAATTCAAGAAACCTGCATTTAGAGTTCATTATATTATTATGATAAGAGACTTGCTTTACCACTGTAGATATACCAGTAAAACATTGTCCAACTGATCGCTGTCTCTGTCTTGCTCTCTCTCTCTCTTTACAGTGGTCTTTTGTTTTACTTGTGGAGGAACATGGATTTGGGGGTATTTTACAGAGTGACTTTGGGATTTTTTTTATCAGGAATTTTTCAGTTTTCCAATAGGGAACACCAGACTTCCTGCTAGGGGAGGCCAGTGGCAGGGCCCTGCCTGCTCAGAGCTGGCATCTTGGACCCAGCTGGCTGTGGCTGACCTCCTGGCCAAATAGGGCCAGGAGGACATGCTTTGGCAGTTCAAAGCAGGCCACCACACCCAAAACATCTTCTGGGTGGTAGCTACCCAGATGGCTGGGCAGGGGCACAAATGGCAGTAGTGCCGTACAACGGTTAACCCTGCAATGGCAGTCCATTGGCAGCTGGCCCAGAGGGCCAGATGCCTCTACTGGCTGTGCAGTCCCCATCCAGGTCTGGCAGGTGCACAGCAGGTCACAGCCCAGCCAGGCAGCAGCCCCCACTGCCAGACTGCTGCGGTGGGTAGTGGGTTCAGGGAACTCTCAGGGCTGCTTCAGCAGTCCAGCTGGCACAAGGGGTAGTGTTCCCAGGTACCAATTGGCTGGGCCCCAGAAGCTCCTGAGAGCTAGTAGCTCTGAGCTACTTGTGAGGGCGGCTTTTTAGACTGCTGGGGCCAGGAAAGGGCAGCGTTTTATACTTCTGGGGACAGCATAGGTGCTGGCCCCAGGTTCTAGCTCCCCCTGGCTGAAGATCCGGGAGGAGCCAGGCAGGGTTATTTTGCCCCAAGTGGTCCAATTTGCTCCACAATGAAGTGCATGTCTGAGCACAGGCGCTGAAGCAAAAAGCCCTTGCTCAAATTTGCACTGCTTCTATTTGGTCTGCTGCAAGCGCACATGCTTGCATGTGTGGACGCGCCCTGTGAGACCACAGCTGGAATACTGCATCCAGTATTGGGCCCCCCACTTCAGAAAGGATGTGAGAAGTTTGAGAGAATCCAGGGGAGTCCAGGGGACAGCCACTCATATGATCCAAGGCCTGGAGGAAAGGCCATATGAGGAGAGGCTGAGGGACTTGTGACTCTTCAGTCTGGAGAAGAGAAGGCTCAGGGGGGACTTGGTAGCAGCCTACAACTATGTAAGAGGGGTACATCAGGACCTGGGAGAAGAACTGATCACCAGAGCTCCCCAAGGAGTAACAAGGTCTTACGGCCATAAACTTGAGGTAGGCCAATTTAGAGTAGACATAAGAAAAAGGTTCTTTATAGTGTTTGTGTCCAGGGTCTGGAAGAAACTCCCACCAGAGGTGGTGCAAGCACCTACTCTGGACTCTTTCAAAAAACAGGTGGATATATTTCTTGCTGGGGTCACATGATCCCAGCTGACTTCCCGCCTATGGTGGGGGGGACCCAATGATCTCATGAGGTCCCTTCCAGTCCCTAATGTCTATGAAATCTATGAAATCTATTAAATATACCCCATTTTCCGGGTTCTGCTACCATAAATGTTCTTAACAGAGCATTTCAAGTCTGTTCTAACCAAGTCCCTAAGCATTTACCATGCAAGATCCACACGAGAATAGCTTCAACAGTGTACAGGACATACCACATATAAGTCCTTTGGATTCATGGGAATATAGTGGCGATGACAGGCACATGGGTGATGCATAGAAAATAGCACATAAATCACCAATTCAGCACAAAGATCTAGTGAAAAGAGAGAAGAAAAGAATTTATCTCCAAGCCTTTCATGGATGAGTTCAGCAAGGAGGGTCTCTCTGTTTTTCATGAGAGGTGATCTGATATCCATGTATAAATACCTTAACCAACAGAAAATACCAGACACCAAATATTTGTGTAACTTAGTAGACAGAGAGAGAAACAAAGCAAAGATCTACAGTTAGAAGTAGAAACCTCGAAACCAAACACATTCAAATTAAATAAAACTTGGCCTTTAACAAGGAAGATAATTGACAACTGGTACAAATGTCCAATTAAAAAATTGGTCATAAGCTGTTGTCTCTCATGTCAAGAGGGGAGATGTTATAGGCTGAATCGGAGGTGTTATTTCAAGTAATGGGATCACACTTAATGCAATCCAATAGCTGGAAGGTTTCCTGTTCCTCAATTTTGTGTTCAACTTGAGTTTTTAAATTCTATTGCTTAAGAGTACCAACAGAGTACAACTTCCATAACATATGGTTTATAGCTGTCAGCCCCTCCTGGACCTACATCAAATATTTTTAATGAAAATACAAGGAGGAAGTGATGGTTATGCCCCTTCCATACCAATAGTTTAGAAGTTAGAACAATCAATAGAGAAGGAGGTGGAGTGTGAAACTCAGACAGCCCCTGCATCTTCTTTGTCCATTTTGGAGCAGGGCTTCAAACCCACATTTCCCACATCATTGTTTACGGACCTAGGATCTAGAGTATGGAGTGTTTCAGGGGAAAGCTCTCTGCTTGTCTTGTTAGTGTGCTGAACAAACACATTCAACAGATTCATTGGAATCAGTCTTTCTCAAGGTGGGTGGGTGGGTCATGGGGGGATGGGATTGGTGATCAGCAGCAGCCAGGGATGGGGCTTGATGTGGGGGAGCTTCAGGATTGCAAAGCAGTGTTGGTTCCAAACTGACAGAGAGAAGATTTAGGCTAGATATTGGTCACAAACTCACATAGAGCAGATTTAGGCTAGATATCAGGGAAAACTTCTTCATGGTAAGGGTGGTCAAAATTTGAAATGGGCTTCCAAGGGAGGTGGTGCTTTCCTCTACCTTGCGGGTCTTTAAAAGAAGGCTGGATAGGCATCTGGCTTGGGTCATCTAACCCCAGCTCTCTTTCCTGCCTAGGCAGGGGGTTGGACTTGATGATCTGTTGAGGTCCCTTCTGACCCTAGCATCTATGAATCTATGAAAAGTCAAGACCTACCCAAACGACTGTAGACTCTTTCTCCCTCCACAGAACACAAACTGGAAAATAAGGGTGAACTATTTCATACACTCTTGGCTTCAGATTACTTTAGCAATGTTTATGTATCTCTGCTCCTACAGTGTATATTTTGAAAAAAATGGAGTGAGGATGCCCATGATGGTCCAAATATATATATATATATATATATTTTGGTTAAGAGAGAAATTAATAGTTTATAGCCTAAATGCACAGACCAAACAGTTAAAGGACTGCAGAATATTTTAAAACTCAATTTCCTTTTATTTACAAATGCTTTTCAATTGTTGAAATATATTCACGTGCCTTGTGTTTTCCCCAGTATATTCCCCAGAGCTGCCTTTACCTCCTTGTTTCTCAGGTTATAGATGAGAGGATTTAACATGGGAGTTATGATACTGTACTGGATGGAGACGAATGTATCAAGAAGCACTGAAGAGATTGACTTGGGTCTCAGATATCTAAATAAACCAGATCCATAATACAGAACAACCACAGTGAGGTGGGAGCTGCAGGTAGAGAAGGCTTTGCCCCTGCCGTCAGCAGAGCATATCCTTAGGATAGCAGAGATGATGCAGATGTAAGACACCAGGGTGACAGAGAATGAGCCAAAAAACACAATCAGGGTTGAAATGAGAAATATCATGTTATTGATGAACGTATCTGTGCAGGACCTTTCTAGTAGAGATGGGACCTCACAACTGCAATGATGCAGTTCATTGGTACCACAGAAACGTAAATGTAACACAGGAAAAGTGTTGGTCAGTGCATATATTGTGCCAATCAGCCATGCACCACCCACCAACCTTATGCGTACTTGCTTATTCATGGTCCCCACATAATACATTGGGTCACAGATGGCAGCGTATTGATCATAGGCCATTGCCGAGAGCATGAACAGTTCTGTAATGGCCACAAGAATAATTAAGCACATCTGGGCAAGGCAGCCATTCAGAGAAATGGTTTTCTTCTCTGCCATAAAATTCTGCAGCATCTTTGGGACAGTGACAGAAGAATAGTAGATGTCCAGGAAAGATAAATGGAATAGGAAACAATACATAGGTGTGTGAAGGTGAATATTAGCTCTTATCTCCACCATGATCATCCCATTCCCGAGGACAGTTAGTAGGTATATCAGTAGAAACACCACAAAAAGGATAGGCTGCAGGTGTGGGTCACTGGAAACACCAGTCAGAACAAAATAGCTGATAGTTGTTTCATTCCCCATGGCCAGTTTTTCACTTTGACCTAGAAGAGAAAATTAAAGATAGATTAATCAGTTCATACATTGTAAGGGGCTGGAAGGGACCTTGCAAGATCATTGGGCCCAGCTCCCCTGCACTAGGCAGGAAAGACAATTGGGATCAGGAGACCCCAGCAAGGTGACCACCCAGTCTCCTCTAGAAGATTTCCAGGGTAGGAGATTGCATCACCTCTGGAGGGAATTTATTCTACAGTCTGGACATCCTAACTGTGAAGAGGTTTTTCCTAGTTTTAAGCCTGAAACAGTTCAGGAGTTTGTGGCCATTACTTCTGGTTTTCCCCAAGGGTGCCCTGATGAACAGTTATTCTCTGAGCCCTTGATGTATTCCCCTGTATTCCCCTGATATAGCAGTAAGCTGGTACCAAGTCACCTCTCAGCCTTCTCTTTTTTAGGCTGAAGAAACCCAAAGTCCCTCAGCCTTTGCTCATATGGCTTGCCTTGCAAGTCTCTGATCATATGGGTGGCTCTTCTCTGGACTCTCTTAAGATTTTACACATCCTCGTTGAAGTGTGGGAGCCAGAACTGGATGCAGTACTCCAGCTGTGATCTTACCAATGTTGAATAAAATGGAAGAATCACTTCCCTGGTTTTGCTTGAGAAGCATCGGTTGTTGCATGCCAGAGTATTGCTTGCCCTGCTGGCTACAGCATCGCACCGACAGCTCAGGTTCATACTATGGGCTATTATTACTCCTAGGTTCCCGTCAATCACGGTGTTAGTCAGTTTGGCACCACTGCACCTATAAGTATGTTGGGGATTTTTTGTCTCAAGATGAAACACGCTACACTTCTCAATGTTGAACTTCATCTGGTTCTGATCCACCCAGCTTGCCAGCCTTTTTAGGTCCACCTGTACCTTCAGCCTATTTTCAAGCGTGACCACACTCCCCCATAACTTGGTGTCATTGACAATCTTGGACAGTGAGCTCTTCGCTCCCACATCTAAATCATTGATAAAGATCCAAATCATTGAAAAGAACTGGACTAAGCATGGACTCCTGAGGGACACCACTGGCCACTTCTCACCTGGATGACACATATCCAGATGAACTTCATCTGGGAGTGCTGAAGGACTGAACAAACTTCATCCATGAGTGCTGAAGTAGCTAGGAGAAGTCATCTCAGAACCCCTAGTAAAACTGTTCCAAAACTTGTAGTGCTCTGGAGGTAACTATAGGCCAATTAGCCGAACTTCTATTTTTGCACCTATGGTGCAAAAATATCCAGCACACCTACTGGCTGTGAAGGCACCCTCTCAGCAGCACAGAAGCAAAAAGGGATCTCACAGTCATAGTGGCCTCCAAGAGGAACATAGGTCATCAGTGTGATGAAATCATCAGCAAAGCTAACCACATTTTTTCACACATTATCAGATGCATGACAAATAGAACCAGGGAGGTGATACTTCACCTCTATGCAACATTGGTCAGACCACAGTTGGAGTACTGTGTCCAGTTTTGGATGCCATACTTCAAGAAGGATATTGATAGACTCTAGATGGTCCAGAGGAGGGTCACTCAGATGGTTAGGAGGTTACAGGACAAGCCCTATGAGGAGAGACTGAGGGACCTGGACTTCTTCAGCCTCTGCACGAGAAGGCTGAGAGATGATCTTGTGGCCTCATAAAAATTCATTAAGGGGATGCAGCAAGGGATTGGAGATGCTCTGTTCACCAGGGCACCTCTTGGGCTAACAAGGAACAATGGTCACAAACTGACAGAGATCAGATTTAGGCTAGACTTCAGGAAAAAACGTCTTCATCATAAGGGTGGCCCAAATTTATAATGGGCTTCCAAGGGAGGTGGTGCTCTCTTCTACCTTGGGGGTCTTTAAGAGAAGGCTGGATAGGCATCTGGCTGGGGTTATCTGACCCCAGCACTCTTGCCTGCCTAGGCAGGGGTCAGACTTGAAGATCTGTTGAGGTCCCTTCCAATCCTAGCATCTATAAACCACACACCCAGAGGTGCTGCTGAGTGAAATAACACTAACAGGGGGTGCCTGGGTTTTGGTCCCTATTTTCAGTCCCATTCATTTATAGTTATATATTAGGCCCTAATAAGAACAGGAAACAGGCTTGTGTTCAGGACTGACCCAGGGACTCCTTCCTTTCAGCTGAGTGTACCATAAACACTAGACTAACACAGTCTTCATCCCGCCTATGTACTCTCTCTCCATCCGAGACTTCTAGTTTTTGCACCAAATGCCTCAGGCCCAGGGAGAGGAGTGGAAGAGTGCTCCACAACTAGTCAAGAACCCGGTGGAATAAATTCTGTGGTCACTGAAGGGGTTTGATTCACTTCAGCTTGAAGAGAGCCTGGAAATCAGAGATCCCACTTCCTGGGTAACAGCACATGTCTCTTCTTCTTTTCCCCTTCATATTAGTGGTAATTTTGTCACTTAAAGAATCTTGCCCCAGACCAAAAAAGCATTGCATGTATTCCCTTCTCTTAAACATTTCCTGTTCCCTAGTTTAGGTGTCTCATTTAGGGTCTGGATCCTGTGAATGTGGTGTTTCAGAGACTGTCAGCAAATCATTTTTTTTTACTTTCCGCACCTGAGTCGACACTCAGGTGCATAACTGCCATTTTTGCACAATTACTACACTCCCACTCTGTGTACATTGTGAAGGTGTAATTACCCACACCATTACTGGGCATACAGAGTAGGCTTTTCTATACCTGAGTAGGGATGTGGCTCTGCATACACATAACTGAACATGTGTCTTCATACTGTAGCAGGAGCACTCTCCCTGGCTTCTGTCTAACCTGTGGCATGGTACTTAGAGCACTGTAAGCCAAAATCAGAGATGTGAGCTAAAGCACTCCAAGGTTGGAGGGAACCTAGAACCTTAGTTAAATGCTACCTGGACAGCCATAGTTTAATAACTACCTGCATTAGCCATCAGGCCAGGGTGGGCTAGTATATCATTTGGAGGTCCATTTACCAAATGTTGGTGAGTTGTTGAGAGCCAAAAGTGTAATCCCACATCTTGAAAAGTGCCCTAACCACTGGTCACCACCTTGGAGCTGGAAGTCCTGCCCCTAACTCCATAGGCAGAGGGAACAAACATTATTTATAGAGGCTGAGTGCACGCCCCCTCTGCACAGACACACATACACCTCCTCACAATACACACACACCCCACCTAGCAGGTAAGACTCTGGTGGGGAAGGTGCAGGGGAGAGGGAAGGGGCATGTGGGGGAGATCGAGGCCCCCACAATGAGGAAGGGTGTGGAGCACAGGCAGGGGCAGGGGTGAATGGGTTCCCAGGGTGGGTCATGTGATACTTGGAGCCTGGGAAGGTCATCTATGGGCATGGGAGTGTTTGGCTCCTGCTGCTGTGCACACCCTGAGGAAGGCACAGGGGGCATGTGCCCCTTAGATTTGCATGTGGGGCATTGCACAGGCAGGCTGCTGCTCTGGGCTGGGCTTTTCACCAAGCTGCCATTGCCTTGAGGGCCATGTGATGTTGTATGCCTGATACCAGCAGGCCATGCTGTATCCCCTGCCCACCTGGCAGTGGAACTCATATGGCATTACGCAGAACTCAGGGCAGTGACAGTGGGGCACAGAGCCCAGCCCATAGTCGTAGCCCACCTCTGTGACACCCCACACACAAATTGAGGGGGCACATGCGCCCCGTGTCTTCCCCAGGATATATGCAGCATTTCTGTCTCCAAGGATGAGCCACTTGGACTCCAAGTGTTCCATGACCCACACCAGGGCCCCGTTCCCCCCCAGACCCTGCCTCTGCCTCACTCCCTGTCACACTGTGGGGGACTCTATCTGCACCCCCATTTCCCTTCCCCTTCACAGACACATCTACTGTGCTGGGCAGTGCTCCACAGCTGTTGAGCATCAAGGACAATAAAAAGTCCTTTTTCAGATATGTGGGGAGCCGGAGGAAAAGCAAGGGCAAAATTGGATCCCTGCTAAACCAGATGGGGTAACTGACAACTGACACCCAGGAAAAAGCCAACCTATTAAATGGATACTTTGCGTCGCTCTTTCATCAGTCCCATGGGATGCCCATGCCCACTATGGGACAGGGAGGTCTGGGTGAGGGAGATTCCCTGCCCTCCATCAATGCTAACCTTGTGAAAGAACACCTTGAGAGGCTGGATACCTTCAACTCAGCTGGCCCTGGCAATCTGGACTTCAGGAAGGCCTTCGACACAGTCTCTCACCCCATTCTCAGTAAGAAACTAGGAGACAGTGGCGTTGATGCCTACACAGTCAGATGGGTAGTCAGTCAGATGGGTAGCACAGTCCCATGCTGCAACTGTCACTAACTGGCTGGTGGGCCGCACCCACAGGATGGTGTTGGACAGGTCTTATTTGACCTGGAGGGATGTGGGCAGTGGGGTTCACCAGGGCTCAGTCCTTGGGCCTGCACTATTCAACATCTTCATCAGTGACTTGGGCGAGGGGGTAGAAAGCACCCTGTTCAAATTTGCAGATGACACTAAGATGTGGGGTGAAGTGGGTATGCTAGTAGGAAGGAACAGCCTGCAAGCAGATCTAGACAGGTTACAGGGGTGGGCTGATGAGAACAGGATGGGGTTCAACACCGACAAGTGCAGGGTAATGCACTTGGGGAGGAAGAACCAGCAGCAGACCTACAG